AGGGGCCTGTGATGGATGGTGGTATGGTTGATTCAAGTCCACGGGAAACGCCGAATCAAACGCTGGACCTTTGCTTTAAGACGCGTAAGTGAAACAGGATATAACTGTGGACTTTTTTTTAAATATATCTTCCTTCATAGAGAACTTATGTACCCTACGCTTTCCTCCGCCAGACGGAACCTGTCTAAGCATTACCGAGGCGCATTCGAGGCAGACCGAGGCCTATTCCAGCCAGACAGAATCGTAACCCAGCAGAACAGAACCGCACCCTTTGCAAGATCCGAACCTAACAAGTCATCGTCATCCTTCGACCTGGCCATCGACAACTATCTCAAGGACTTTGGCTATGGCAACCAAGACAGAAACTACGTGGACTTCTAGACTCTAGATATGTATATCACGTAGTTGTTAGGTTTAAGGATTTACCCGTCCATGCATGTAGAAACTAGATAAAAATGTTTATTTATTTATGCTAAGCTAAGTTTTGATGAATAAAACTATTGAAAAATCATCCTTTTTTTATCCTGTGTCGGGGAAACTATTCCGATTAAGAAAAGGTGTGTCGCCCCGATCGGCTTACAAATAGCGGAGAAAATTAAATATTTTTGATTGGGGAAAATGTCCTTGGTCCTTGATAAGGACTCCATTAATCCAGGGAGATTTTTTCGATCACAGGAAGCCGTCGCGAGTCACGATCGGGCCGCAAATAGCCGAGAAACTTAAATTTATAAGGTAGGGGTTGTTGAAGTCCTTACCGAAGGATCAAGGAAATTTTTCTGATCACAGGAAGCCGTAGCACGTTCCGATCGGGCCACAAATAAGGAAGAAAACAAGATACACATGTCTGGAGAAAATATCCTTGATCCTTGGTCCTTGATAAGGACTGCATTAGATCAAGGATGTTATTCCTAACACAGGACGCCCTGGCATGTCCCGATCGGGCCACAAATAAAGGAAAAAACAACAACAGTTGTTGTTGTTAACAACAGAACAAAAATGTTTGTACAACAACTTTTAACTTGCAACCGCTCAAATGGCCAAAAACGTTAATTTCAAATCTGGGATACCAGGCAAACAGGAATAGCAGAAGGTCGCTGGATTTAAAAAAAAATCTTTTAAATTTCCCGCCCTTTGCCAATCCCCAAAAGTATGCAACACTTTTTCATATTTTCTTGGGCCGCTCAAATGGAGAAAAACGTTAATTTCAAATCTGGGTTTGAAAAATGGCGGGCAAACCAATTTAAAAAATCCCAGATTTGAAATTAACGCCTTTCTCCATTTGAGCGGCCAAAGAAAAATTAAAAGTGTTGCATACTTTTGGGGCTTGGCAAATGGCGGGAAATTTAAAACAAATTAAAAAAATCCAGCGACCTTCTGCTATTTCTGTTTGCCTGGTATCCCAGATTTGAAATTAACGCTCTTCTCCATTTGAGCGGCCAAAGAAAATACGAAAAAACGTAAAAACAAAATTAAAAGGAATTACAAAAAAACCAGCGACCTTCTGCTATTTCTGTTTGCCTGGTATCCCAGATTTGAAATTCTCGTTAAAAGTTGTTGTACAACAAATTTTTTTGCTGTTGTTGTTAACAACAACAACTGTTGTTGTTTTTTCCTTTATTATTGGCCCGATCGGGACATGCGACGGCTTCCTGTGTTAGGAATAACATCCTTGATCTAATGGAGTCCTTATCAAGGACCAAGGGTCAAGGACATTTCCTCCAGACGTATATATCTTTTTTCACCTTATTTGTGGCCCGATCGCTCCGTGCCATGGCCCGCCAGGGTCAGAAAATTGTCCTTGATCCTTAGGTAAGGACTATAACAACCCCAAAATATACATATTTAGTTTCCTCGGCTATTTGGGTACTGATCGGGACGTGCGATGGCTTCCTGCGATCAAATGTCTTTGATTTAATGGAATCATTATCAAGGACCAAGGATCAAGGATATTTTCTCCAGACATGTGCATCTTGTTTTCTTCCTTATTTGTGGCCCGATCGGAACGTGCTACGGCTTCCTGTGATCAGAAAAATTTCCTTGATCCTTCGGTAAGGACTTCAACAACCCCTACCTTACAAATTTAAGTTTCTCGGCTATTTGCGGCCCGATCGTGACTCGCGACGGCTTCCTGTGATCGAAAAAATCTCCCTGGATTAATGGAGTCCTTATCAAGGACCAAGGACATTTTCCCCAATCAAAAATATTTAATTTTCTCCGCTTTTTGTAAGCCGATCGGGGCGTCACACGCCTCTTCTTAATCGGAATAGCTTCCGTAGCGATACAAGGATAAAACAAGGATGATTTTTCAATAGTTTTATTCATCAAAACTTAGCTTAGCATAAATAAATAAATATTTTAATCTAGTTTCTAAATGCATGGACGCGTATATCCTTAAACCTAACAACTACGTGATATATGTACATATCTAGAGTCTAGAAGTCCACGTAGTTTCTGTCTTGGTTGCCATAGCCAAAGTCCTTGATATAGTTGTCGATGGCCAGGTCGAAGGATGACGATGACTTGAAGGTCCGCAATGGGTGCGCATCTGTCCTGCTCGGATACGATTCTGTCTGGCTGGAATAGGCCTCGGTCTGCCTCGAATGCGCTTCGGTAATGCTTAGACAGGACTCCGTCGGGCGGGGGAAATCGGAAAATATATTTTAAAATATGTCCACAGTTATATCCTCTTTCACTTACGCGTCTCGAAGCTGAAGCCCAGAGTTTGATTAGACGGCGTATGAATGGCCGTCATGGCTGGCTCATGATGACGAGGCGTTAGCCGAATGCTAGAGTCGAAGATCCTGAGATCCAATCCAGAAAGTTCGCTTGTTCCTGTATGGTAAGTGGCAGGACCAATAGCATTCTAAGAATAAGGTAAAGTTATATTGTCAGTGAAAGTATATTACTAACTTTTATTTATTATACAGTACTAACCAGGACCAAAAATATGCTAGGACTCTCCCAAACACAACAAGACATGCCACGCCCTGATCAGCTGCCGTTTAGCAGAGATAGCGTGCAGAAAAAACCAGTATTTGAATGATGTGCAAATCAAATCTTCAGACGGCTATATCTCAGACAAATAGGGCCAGATGGGTGCAGGACCAACTCTCCAAGGACCGCGAGGATCCAGACTGTCGAACGGCATCAAAATCTCGACTTCGAAATCGAGGCCGATTTTTGCCAAATTTAATGATGTAACCATCATGATTTTTTGCGAAAATCGTGAAAAAAGGGATGTTCCTTTTTCTGATGGCAGTCGATTGGCAGGACTCTTCCGATCACGGACAAACATGCCGCGCCCCAATCGGCCCATAAATAGTCGAGATATAGCGTTCAGAAGAAACCAGTATTTTAGAGATACGCAAATCCAAATCTTCAGACGGCTTTATCTCAGACAAATAGGGCCAGATGGGTGCAGGACCAACTCTCCAAGGACCGCGAGGATCCAGACTGTCGAACGGCATCAAAATCTCGACTTCGAAATCGAGGCCGATTTTTGCCAAATTTAATGATGTAACCATCATGATTTTTTGCGAAAATCGTGAAAAAAGGGATGTTCCTTTTTCTGATGGCAGTCGATTGGCAGGACTCTTCCGATCACGGACAAACATGCCGCGCCCCAATCGGCCCATAAATAGTCGAGATATAGCGTTCAGAAGAAACCAGTATTTTAGAGATACGCAAATCCAAATCTTCAGACGGCTTTATCTCAGACAAATAGGGCCAGATGGGTGCAGGACCAACTCTCCAAGGACCGCGAGGATCCAGACTGTCGAACGGCATCAAAATCTCGACTTCGAAATCGAGGCCGATTTTTGCCAAATTTAATGATGTAACCATCATGATTTTTTGCGAAAATCGTGAAAAAAGGGATGTTCCTTTTTCTGATGGCAGTCGATTGGCAGGACTCTTCCGATCACGGACAAACATGCCGCGCCCCAATCGGCCCATAAATAGTCGAGATATAGCGTCCAGAAGAAACCAGTATTTTAAGGATATGCAAATCCAAATCTTCAGACGGCTAAATCTCAGACAAATAGGGCCGGATGGGTGCAGGACCAACTCTCCAAGGACCGCGAGGATCCAGACTGTCGAACGGCATCAAAATCTCGACTTCGAAATCGAGGCCGATTTTTGCCAAATTTAATGATGTAACCATCATGATTTTTTGCAAAAATCGTGATAAGCTGGATGTCCTTTTTTCTGATGCCATTCGGTTGGCAGGACTCTTCTGATCACGAAAAGACATGCCGCGCCCCGATCGGCCCACAAAGAGTCGAGATATAGCGTCCAGAAGAAACCAGTATTTTAGAGATACGCAAATCCAAATCTTCAGACGGCTTTATCTCAGACAAATAGGGCCAGATGGGTGCAGGACCAACTCTCCAAGGACCGCGAGGATCCAGACTGTCGAACGGCATCAAAATCTCGACTTCGAAATCGAGGCCGATTTTTGCCAAATTTAATGATGTAACCATCATGATTTTTTGCGAAAATCGTGAAAAAAGGGATGTTCCTTTTTCTGATGGCAGTCGATTGGCAGGACTCTTCCGATCACGGACAAACATGCCGCGCCCCAATCGGCCCATAAATAGTCGAGATATAGCGTCCAGAAGAAACCAGTATTTTAAGGATACGCAAATCCAAATTTTCAGCATGTCGATTGGCATCAAAATCTCGACTGCGAGAATGGGCCCGATTTTTTGAAAATTTAATGATGTAACTATATCTATGGTGCCTCCCGAAGATTTGGATTTGCACATCATTCAAATAGTGGTTTTTCCCGCGCACTACATATCTTCTATACGGCAGCCGATCGGGGTGCGGCATGTCTTTTCATGATCGGGAAAGCCCTGGCAATCGATGAACATTTTACATTTACATTTCTAGCTTCGTACAATTTAAAACATTAATTTTTTTTAGTGGTTGATGACCTTTGAGGAAACCTTATTTTGTAAATAAACAAATGAAAAATGTAGAAAAATTAATCTGTGAAATGTTTGGCTATTTTTCCGCTCTTTGGGTATATTTATTTGAAACACTGTCGCAATAAAACAGTAACAAGGGTAATGCGCAGTCTGTAGGATTTGGGAAAACTGTTTCGCTTTAGAGAATTTGGAGATATTGGGATGCGGATAAATAAATTGATACAATGCGAGGATAGATAGAACGTAAGGCTAAGCGACCCCGATGGGAATGCACACACTTCAACATATGTAGATGTATAATTGGATTTGTCGCAGTAAATGAAATGCGGTTGTCTTCGGTTGGACCTCAACGTCTTCGTGGTACTATTAAAATGCAAAGGCAAACAACGCTAGGCGTGTTTGGCAGTTGATGGGGGGACTTCAGAGCCTGTTCTCGTCGTATAATCATTACGTTTGCTATGGTGTTTATTGATAACGAGCTATTGTGGGCAAAGGCACAAAGCCAGTCGAAATGCTGGGAGAACGTTTAATTTGAGAGCTAAAAAAAAGGGTTGTGTTGGGGCCATTAGTAATAAAGCTGTTGTCAATTCGATTTAAACTTACCGCCAAAGGAGCGAGCCGCCCCGCTTAAGCTCTTTACGGGCCTGCAGATCGTTCCAGCAGTCTACCCAATTAGCGTAGGCGGGCATGATGGGCGGTTGCCCGGCCATCAGACGCGACCCACTCACAGCCGAGCAAGTGGAAACCACTAGCAAAGGATACAGCAGACTTGAATAGCCAAATTGTATCATGGCAGCGTTGTACTGCCTGGTCAGCTTGTCCTTGATCAAATATTTGTTCAAAATATAGATCGTGGAGCTACTGAGAACCAGACAGGCAACATCGGCCAAGAGCTTGGGCACCAGACCAGCAAAGAAGCCACCAATTCCCTCAGTCTTCCAGATCTCCGCAATCGAACCGGCTATGGAACGATACAGAGTCTCGCGGCCAATAAACTGGGCCATCATCCGCACCGAGATCACGTGGAAAGGATGCGACGCGACGATTCCACTCACAGTCACCACAATATCACGCTTCAGATGTAGCTTGAATTGAGCATACCTGAAACAAACAAATGAGACAACTAATCAGATGGGAGCTGAAGAATATTTGTAAATTAACACTTACTCGTCTTCCTCCGACATATCTGTGTCATCCTTGGATTCCTCCAAAGAGTTCAGTCCCAGTTTTTCGACCACCCGCTCGCTCACCACCATCGCCACAACGGATCCAACCAGCTTAGGTGCCAGGCCACGATAGCAGCCATAGAATCCATCAATTCTCTTGATGTGACCGGCTGCAAAGGTAAGAACGATATCAATCCTGACCGGCAAGCGAGAACTTTGTACCCACTGTATTGAAAAATGTTCGGCAGCTTCAGGATTGGTTTGCCAGTCCACGACGTGCTGGGAATGGCAGCAATCGGCTCATATCCCAGCTGAATCAGCGTCTTGGAGTACTCAAACGGATGCAAGGCAGCACTAACTCCCAGGCGCATGCCAAATTTAATCCAACTATTCACCTCCGTATTCTCAGTTCGTGAAAGAGCTCCGTCCATTATGTTTTTGATTAGTTCTGCTTCTGCTTTTTGACGAGGGAACACTTCTGCGCTGAATTTGGTACAAATAGCGAAAAAAAAGAAACGGAGCAATTTTCTAATAAACCGGCTCTGCCAATGCACAATTTTTGATTTGGTTTTTTTGATTACAAAACTTTTTTATGAGAGAACCTGCCTCGCTTGCTTGACACAATATCGATATATGCAGTATCGATAGAAAGATACAAGCTCTGGGAGATTGTCACAAGGATATAATATTTAGTCTTGTTTAGTTAAATTTTGCTCTGACGTAAAACTATTGAATAACTTTTTTAATGACTGTAAAATGTAAGTGAACTGTTGCACAATTTGTGGCGAATTGTATTTACCTCTTATCGATAGAGTATCGATACCTCGCGAACAGCTGTTTGCGACCATCTCTTTCTGTATGTGGGTGTTATGTGGGTGGTGGTAGGAAAATGCACAGATATTTACTCAACATTTCATACATAGGCACAACTTTTCGGTGAGCAATTTGTTAACTAGATCCCAAATATAGCTATGAACGGCAACTATTCATTCATGCAGTGGTATACAGAAGACCATAAACAAGTTGGAGCCACAGAGTCTGGACACCAATTCAGTTCAAGGCTGCTTGGAGCTGGCACTAAGAGTTTTTCATCCCACCAACGAGATACAAACGGTGCTGTCCAGTCGGTAAGTGCCTCAAGGCCAAATGGCTATTCTGATCTGCTAATCAAATTCATTCCCAGCACAGACGCGGGTGTTCATGCCCTGCACTCGACGGTGCACGTGGACTTGGCGCGCCGTGATGGCCAACCATATGATACCACAACGCTGACGGGAGTTCTCAACAGGACTCTGGACAAGCAGCGCCTTCCCATCCGCGTGCTCAGCAGCCAGGTGGTGCCAGATACCTTCCATTGTCGCTACCACGCCATAGGGAGAACCTACTTGTATCGCTTTGCCGTCGCGCGTAAACCCCTGTTCGACGACGGGAAGCTTCGGAACAAAGGATTCGAGGCATTTGTTCCCGTGGAGGAAATTGATCGCTGCTATTTTTTACTGTATAGTGTTCTGCCTGCACAGTTTGCCTGCCGTTCGCTGACCATTCCTTTTTCCCCACAGGGCCCCGACCTTCGACATTGAACGCATCCGCAACGCGGCTCGCATGTTCATCGGCGTGCACGACTTTCGCACATTCATGAGCGTCAGCCGGCAGAAGAGCCTCAGCCGTGACCATCCCATGTTCACCCTGCGCAAAATCGACGAGATCAATATACGACCTGGCCGAACGCTTGCCCTGCCATCGAACGCCACTCTGGCTGCGGAAACATACGACTATTGGGACATAGAGATCAAGGCCAAATCGTTTCTCTACAAGCAAGTGAGACGTATTGTAGGGTCGCTGCTTTCCCTAGGCAGCGACCGCATTGACGAGAAGTGCATCTACCAGATGCTGACCATACCTTCCAAGCACTCGTGGGATTCCCGAGTAGTTCCAGCGCCAGCCTGCGGACTTTACCTGTGCCGTGTGCACTACAGAGATACACTTAGTACGGACAACTAAGCTAAGACCTAGTCATGATACTGCTGTATGAGCTGCAGAAGCGGCTGGCCAATCTAAGGCCCACAACCACCGTCGTCACCACACCCACCGGCGCCCGTTTTGTTGAACGGCGTAGGTCCTCTGGAAGCGAGGACGGAGCAACCACGACCCCCCAACAGCTGGAGGCACGACAGTATGGCTTTGTCGTGGACACAAAACCAGACGCCGTGCCCGCGTGCATTCTCAGTGAATTCCTCTATCTGGGCTCCCAAGATGCCGTCAGTACGGAAAACATATTGAAGTTCAAGCTGACGCATATACTCAGCGTTGGCATAGAAACCCCCAGTATCGAGCTACCAACGTCAGTCACGTGCAAGTACTTACCCTGTCTGGATCTGCCCGAAACGGATCTGCTGCGGTATGTGCTGCCCGTCTCCATAGACTTCATCGAGGAGGCTCGCCAGGCCCGCGGCTGCATTCTAGTCCACTGCAACGCGGGCGTCTCGCGGTCTGCCTCTGTTGTCATTGGCTACTTGATGCAGCGGCGGGACATGTGCTACGAGGATGCCTACAACCTGGTCAAGTCCTGGCGGCCCTGCATCCAACCCAATGCGGGCTTCATGCAGCAGTTGAAGAAGTCTAGTAAAACATAAATATAAATAGGTTAAGTCGGTGTCCGCCTACCTGCATTTTGGCTTTATTTTTGTGCTTAGTGCCCATGCCCCACGAAAACAATTCATCCATGCACATACACAACACGGACACAGAACAATTGTGTTTAAACATTAACAAAACATCAAATCTCTATTTGGTTAGTTGACAACAATTTGGTACGGATGTTCAAAATACGTTACACGAGATTCTTAAATGGATTGCACCCCCGATTCTCCACCCTTCACTTCTCTCCACCCCCCTCCAGTCGCTCACCTCAATCTCAATCTAGACGAGGGTGCCCAAGTGCTGTAGATCTAGCGCTGATCTCAGTGGATTTGCATAGATCTTATCCGGTGCGACTGCTCCTATGGGTCCAATCTCTCCTCCACTGTAGGCATCCACTGCTGCTGGTGAGGTAGGGGTGAGGGTGTGTCCCATTCTGCTCGTGGTAAACATCTGCTTCGCTAAGCCCTTGTCGGCCACATATCGAACATTCAAGTTCTTTTCGGCCAATTCCTGGGGGGACAGGCAGCGATTGTGGTTGCGGTTTGTGTTTCTGTGATTTCCCCCTGCTTCTAATACTGGAGGCAACTTAACGGACATACGGAGATCATCTACGTCACGCATTGAAGATTGGATTAATTTCGCCACTTTGGCTGCCTCGGTGACCTCTTCGTTGGTGTCGACGGCTTCAGTGGCTGTAGCTGGGGCTGTGGGTTCTTTATGAGTATCATTGCCGGCAACGGCTACTGTTGTCTCGAATTCGCGACCCAAACATTCGAGCACTCCCAGCTTGGCTTTTAGCTGCTCGTTGGCCGTGAATAATTTCCGTTCCACTCGGTGGATATCCGCTACCTGTGTCGACAGCTCTGTATCGAGTCGATCGATTTGCAGCATCACCTCACTCTTTGTCTGATACGCCCGCTTCACCTGATGCCTACGCACCTTGGCGTGCAGACTCAGGAGCAGCTCCTCCTCCCGCTGGAGCTGTTTGTTCACGGCATGAATTTTTTCGAGCCAGTACACTCGGATCTCGTCGTTGACCTCGGCATCGTTTGGCGTCCAAGCAGTGTCCGCTCTATAATCATCTTCTGTGAATAGAATGCCATTAAATAGCAGTTTTGATAGCTGATATTTACAGAACGCCTGTTACCTGTACATAATGGAACATCCTCTGCGTCTGGTTCATCCGCATCGACTTCTTCTATAGTAGGGCTATTGTCCTGCGGCTCGTCCAAGTCCTTCAAGTACGTCTCGAGCAGGTAGTTCTTACCCAACTCCCGTTCACGCACTCGATGCTTCTCCTCTTCGATTTTCAAAATTTGTCGATCTTTTTCGCTTCGGGAGGCGGATTCGGAGGAGGATATAAAATATAAGATGGACATTTCCAAAGGCACTTCCTTATAACTTGCGCATAACTTACTGCAACATGGACATCTGCTGGAGTATAGTTTCGTCCTGGGCCAGAATGATGGTCAGCAGACTCTCGTTCGGAGTCATGTGGTAGTTCCTCTGCTGCAATTTCCGGCTTCTCTTTGGTTGCTTGGGGTTGTTGGCTCTGCCCTCTCCCCCCCAGTGATCTGGTGCCATCGGCAGCTTGGGAGAGGGCAGCACCTTGTGCTTTCCCCTTCTTCGAAAGCGCATGCTACGAGAACTGTCCACGGGACTGCCCATTCCACTGTCCTTGTCCGTTGTCGGGGTGTGTTTGCTCGCCGATGAAGTGGCTAAATGGCGTAGCTGGAGCTGACACTAGGGGGAAATATCGAGAGGGTGAACAAAGTCGAATTTAAGTCGCTTGGTCTGCCTCCGCTTACTTCCTCCTTTGGCGAGGCATGACGGTTGCTGATAACATCAAAGAGTCTGGCACTGCCATCCAGGTACTCCTCGTAGTGCCGCTGCTTCTGCACAATCGCGTACTCCTGCATCGCTGGCGGGGGATGTTTGATGTTCGCCGTTGGCTTTAGGGGATCTGCATTTGGCGGTCCTGCTTCCTGCGGATCGTCTTGGTAGCTGAGCAATGCGCAGATTAGATCCGCGCAGGTTGTGCTCCCATCCACGCCCGATATCCAGTGCTCCTCGCCATCAATCCAAATCGACAGATTGTCCGCCATCGACGAGACCGATTCTATATCCTCCCCCGCAGCGTCGTCCTCTAGAGCGGGCATCGTCTTCTGGTAGTCGAACCGTGCAACCGTTGCCTGATCAGTGGTCTGCATTGTGTCTGCTGGCATTCTGTGGAAATGGCACACAACAGAGAAGTGGGTTAGTTGCTATCATCCCATCCCGTCCCGTCCGGTCCGGCGTATAACAATATACATATGCAAATAACTTATTGTATAAGACGGGGCGAGCATTTAACGGTTTTGCACAAAGCGACGAAAACATTTGTTACATATAATTTATGCAGCAACTCTTTTGAGATACCCTTCCCCTTTGACCACAGCACAGTTCCACAGCTCCACTTCCCACTCCCCACTCTCCCCCGATCACCACTCCGACTGAGAATGGGCTAACAGTTATTCTCTTCTCTTCACTGCTCTTCTCCACTCGAACAAAAATAGTCTCCGTTCCAGCCGCCAGAGCTGGACGCTCGCTCTCTTTGGCTGTTAACAACGTGTCAAGATCTCTAATTAGGCAATTATGCAAATCTCTCGACAATCCGCAGTGTCGCCGCTCATAACATGTGTACATTTCTGCTGACAAGATCGCTAACAAACTAGAACAAGCCACTGCGCGCGCGGTTCTCGCGGAGTCTCTTCTCTCCGTTACATGTGCCACCATGCACCGTGTAAGTGCCACACCACACCACACCACACACCGATGATGACTCATGTAGATGGAGATGGAGACGGAGTACCAGTAAGAGTACGATTACACGAGCGTGCAACACAGTTTTTGTGCTGTGTTGTGTTGTGTTACAGTTTCAACTTTCTCGCGTTACACCTGTCTCTCGACGGTCGACGCTCGACGGTCGACGGCGGAATTCCCTCAGCGGGAATATGGCTTACCAGCGTGCTCAACGTCATCGCTACAACTGAGGCACGACGCGGACGAGCGCCGAGCTTAAAAAGAAACTCCATCCAGCAAGTAAGAGCGGACCAGAGACCTGTCCAAACGAAGTGGCGCTCGGTTGGCAAAAGAAGCCAAGAGCAGCGCTAACAGTGGCCAAAACATACACAAACACACACCACACAGTGGCCTGTGTGGCAAGCAAGACACCATGTTAACTCCGGGACTGCCGCTCTGTGGCTGTGGCTGTGGCTGCGTCTGCTCTTACTGTGGCTCCGACTAACAGTGGAGTGTGCGATGCGAGTGGCTTGTATGAAGAAACACTTTTTGTTTTTCTCTTTGAATTTTACGGTATCGTGGGTAAGTTTTATAACTTGTCCCGGCCACTCCCCTTGTACGAGAGCAGTTGATGCTATGCAGAGATATTCTTGGCCGCCAGCCAGTCCAAGCTGAGCCGAGCCGAACCGAACCTGTGCCTAGGCCTGGGCTTGGGCCTGGCTTTGCTTTGCTTTCGCTACTCTATTATGAAAGACAGAGTTTTACTATAATTACGAGTGTACGCGTATACTCAACCCAATTGAAGAGTGTGGCTGTAACAAAGCGATAAACGAAGCCGAGACTCAGATTCAGATTCAGATCCAGAGACCTGGGTGCCTGGGTGCCTCTGGAGCAGCAAAACACTACTGAACCTCCACTGTAACTCCACCGGACTTAATTGCTGGCTACCCAAAACCCCGGCAGCCCAGCAGCTAGTCGATTATCATTTCAGTCCAAACAAGTATAGACGTCTCTGTCTCTGTCTCTGTCTTTACTTCACTCCATAGCACTCCACACCACACCACACCACTCCACTCTAGTCAGAAGTAAACTAATTTCCGAATACTCTGTACAGTTTAGACCGCAGACTGGGAAATCTTTCGTTTTCGTTTTCGTATTCGTCTTCGTCTACGTATCTCCGGCCATCTTTCGTGGTTATTGTTGGGGTCATTAAGTCCACAATTCTCAGCCAATTTAGACTACAAAAACCTCTTAATGGAAAGCTCTTTCTACAACTCTCTAATCTGTCCAAATATGTATACAGTAGTTTGGGCAGGTTTCCACCGAAGTTGAGCGGACAACGCTACTGATACATGATCAAATCAAAGGATCTATGGTGCCTATAATGTATACTCGTAAGTGTATAATGCCGCACTGGCTGCTAGCCCATTTGTCGATTCAATTTCTGTAGCCAGTGCGATTTGTGTTTTCTTTTGATAGTTGGCTTGGCTTTGGCTTGGCTTTTGGCCTTTCATTTTCATGAGTTACGTTACAGTTGAGGTTCTTCGATTTGGATACCTAAAAACAACACTAAACCGGTATGAATTGCATGCATAATGCATAAATGTGTGCCACTTAATGCATTTATGTGCATTGCATACACCATACACCATACACCATACACATGTACATATACATGTACTGTACTGCACTGTACGCGAGTATGTACAGCCTGCACAGGCTTGGTGTCTCCTCGTGTCTGTCTTGCGCAGCCTATAAGTCAAGCATTTTGTAGGTGCGACCAAATCCAAATCCAAATCCAAGTCCAAAACCCATTTAGCTGCTAAATAAGGCTACGTACTTGTCAGAGTGCGACGACGCAACACCTGCCTGGCCTGGCCTGGCCTGGCCTGCCGTTTGGCTCCATGAGTGCGAAGTGTCTACGAGTATTACCAAATTTGATTAGCGAATTGCTCTTGTAATCGAGCGGATCAATTCAATATGAATTTGAATAACTCACCCAAAATCAGTGCGCTGTGCCGTAAGTCGCCAGTGTCGTCGGCTGAGGCATTCCATTTGTGAAAACTGGCTTGGATCAATTGCAAACAAAGCTGGAAGCGGCGGCGGCGGCGGCGGCAGCATGTGAAATGTTCTAAGGGTTCCCCCGTATCGAGTTCCATTCCATCCTCTGGGGGTCGTCATTGTTTCGGTCAGGCACAGGTGAACATGCAGACGGTTGGTCTGGCTGGGGCAGGCAACCTGCCACACAAAGAAAGGCGTAACATTAATCGTATCCTATCCTTTATATCCGCCTATATGTATATATATAATGTTGTTATGGGAACCAGTAACAATAATAAAATCAAAAGCTGCGAGGCTACTCAGTGGCATATTACGACATCTGGCATCTGGCCTGAAGCTCCATCTCCCATCTCCCAGCTCCAGCTGAATCTCTCGTTGCCAGCAGTTGCTCACAAAAACGCGCTCAAAACAAGTTGTTTGGCTTTTTCAGCCATAGCTATAGCCACAGCCACAGGCGAGGTCTGGTGCATGAACCGATGACGACTGCTTCAGTCGCTAAACAAACGTCAGCGTGCGCGGTTTAGATCTAGCCAAGTGACCGCGCGCTCAATTGAACTTCGGGACTGAACGGATCGTTTCTGATCGGATTGGATCGATTCCCCGGTCTGGCAAACAAAAAATACCTTTGTGTGTGTGTAAAAGTACGTATATACGCTCATAAAGCGAGCAATAATCATTATTTTTTTGGGTGCACCCACAACGCTTTAAGAGGCAGCAATCGGATGTAGATTGGCCGACAACAAAGAGCTTTGGCTGCGGCTGTGGCTTGGCTTCCCATGAGCAAATTACGTCAATTTCCTCTCGATTTCCCAATTGACAATTTACGAGTATTGTCGCCAAGCAATGCACCAAAGTGGCTCAAATCCCCGGTTATGGCTGTTATGGCTGTTGCAGCTTACGGTTTTGGCCAAGATGTACATACTTGACTTTGGCCCCAGAGCTGGGTCCGTGACACGATCCGCATCACGAGATGCTCCATGGACTGACCTTGCTTCTGGGATACCATGAAGTCAATGCGTTGGATGGTCGCACACGCAGCCATCTCTAGGGGCTACACCAAACTGGTTTTGGTCTCCTTCCTCTACCCCGCCTAGATGCTACGCTACCCACATAAATATCCGAGAAAACATACCTACATAATACTCGTACTCGTAGCCAGAGACGTAGCCAAGTATGACAGATAAGTTGTCATTAAAAAAGCCAAAGCGAACTGAACGCATGCGCGACGTTGCCAAATAATTGCAAACGCGAAACATGAAACACGAAATGGAATTTCCTTTACATTGAATTTCGTTGAATATTTCCAGGGACAAACGGACCGCACAACTGGGAGCAACGGGGTGCAACAGGGGAATGAAAGCAGACACGAGCGCAGTGCAACACACCCACATCCGCAGCGAAGATGCCGCGCAAACTACTTAAATTCCTGATCATCTTCGACAACACTTCTCTGCTGTACTTTCCCGGCCAGTTCTTGTCCGGACGTGTGCTCATCGAGCTGCAGGATGAGACGCCGGCGCTGGGACTGCACTTCCATGTGGTGGGGGAGGGCGTGGTGCGCAACGGCCGACGCCAGGAGCGGACGTATGACAAGGAGAACTACATTGACTTCCGCATGCGACTGCTCGGCGATGTGGACCAGGGAGGTCCGGCCATACTCTCGCCGGGAATACACAGCTTCCCTTTCAAGCTAGGCCTGCCATTAGGCCTGCCATCGACGTTCCTGGGCCGCTACGGCTGGATTCAGTTCTACTGTAAGGCGGCGCTGCGCGAAAACAACGGCATCATACACAAGAACCACCAGGTGTTTATAGTGATGAACCCCATCGACCTGAACCTGGAGAAACCGATTTTGGCAGTGAGTAGCTCTTGCTATATTCAGAGATTATAATACTCACGCAGCTCCTTGGCATCCGTATACGTATCCTTCCGCACAGCAACCGTTCACCTGCGAGGTGGAGCATAAGCTCGGCGTCGTCTGCGTGGGCGGAGGTCAGATCAAGTGCCGAGTGTCCCTGGATCGCGGTGGCTACGTGCCCGGAGAGAACATTCTGGTCACAGCGTTCATCTCGAACTACAGCAATGTGTCCATTAAGCGCACCAAGGCGTCCCTCACAGAGGTAAGATCCACAGTTTGGCGCTGCAGTGCTCAGCAGGCATTGATTCCTCGGACAATCCTTTCCTTTCAGACAATCGAGTACTTGGCGCGCGGCAAGGTGCTGCAGACGGAGAAGCGGGAGCTAGCCGTCCTGGTGCGCGGAAAGATACGTCCGGGTGGGAAGGATGAGTGGCACAACGAGAGCTTGTATGTACCGCCGCTGCCGCCGACCAATTTGCACGGTTGTCACTTGATCAAAATATCCTACGATGTGTTCTTTGTGATCGAGCCCAAGTCGATGGAGAAGGAAATCAAGCTGCAGCTGCCCATTGTACTGGCGACCTATCCATTCCGGAACAACTCCGGCGATGCAGCCAATGCCAACACGTGGCCAGAATCGGTGCTAAAGCCGGACACGCATACGCATTACCCCTCAACGTTGCCCATATTTCGACCATGGATGCACGAGAAACCGAGTGAAGCATAGCAGCACACACAAACACACACACACATTCATAGTTCTTGTTAACAACAAATTGCGCCATAAACTAATTTAAACCTACAATTTAACTTGTGTGTACTGTTTCCAATGTGTTGAGACTTACGACTTACCTTTTTTTTTTTGCTATTTAGTTACTTTCAACCGTGTTTATATAATACGACTTATCTGTTTCTTGTAATTAAATAATCTAAAAATCATCAACTAATTTCGACGTGCTGCCGCAGCGGATTTCTCTGTGGCAATTGTTCATTTACAACACACGACCATGTGCCAACATTGTCTTTATTTACCGCCAGCCTTTGCGATCGTTCACATACTTATTTTATGTAATTACACAACGATTAAACACTTAACTAGAAAAAAAAAAATTGAATTGATTTCATCTATGGCCAATTCCGTTATTCGCTTAAAGTTAGATACTTAGATACCAGGGATAGATGCTTTTCTTAATCGATAGTTCACAAATATCGACTACGTATCGATATAGTCGAAATGAAAAAAAAATGACAACATTAACATTACATGGTAATTGGATAATTTTGATAATTTTCGTTTATGGGACGAATGGCGATTGCGGCTGCAACAAGCTGGAGAGGGATGCGGCTGTCGTGGAGGAGTCGGATCAAGTGTGCCAACGACAGGCTCGAAATACGAACAAGCACTATCGCGACTACTATGCTGACGTTGAGGTGGAGCCCGAGATCGAGGGCATGTCCCTGATCCCCGGTGGCAGCGTACACATTGGCACCGACATCCCGCACTTCCAAGCAGATCGGGAGTCGCCAGAGCGGTTGGTGAAACTGAAAGACTTTTACTTGGACAAGCACGAGGTGTCCAACGCGAAGTTTGAAGAGTTTGTGTCGGCCACCAAATACACGACAGAAGCGGAACGGTTTGGCGACAGTTTTCTCTTCAAAACCCTGCTCAGTGCGGCAGAGCAGAAGCGACTCGAAGACTACCGCGTGGCCAGTGCACCCTGGTGGTACAAGGTCAGTGGAGTGGGCTGGCGAAATCCCAACGGCGTCGACAGCAGCCTAAACGGTGATGTCTTTAAATATTGCCTTTGAGCCATCTTGACATCTGTTTCCATTTGTGCATAGGTCTCGAACAGCATCCCGTGGTGCATGTGTCCTGGCGCGATGCTGTTGCCTACTGTACCTGGGCCGGAAAGCGTTTGCCCAGCGAAGCAGAGTGGGAGGCGGCCTGCCGAGGGGGCAAGCAACGCAAACTCTTCCCGTGGGGCAATAAGCTGATGCCCAAGGATCAGCACTGGCTGAACATTTGGCAGGGCGACTTTCCCGATGGCAACACGGCCGACGATGGATACGAGGGCACCTGCCCCGTGGACAGATACCGCCAGAATGTGTACGACCTCTACAACATGGTGGGCAATGTCTGGGAATGGACTGCGGATTTGTGGGACACGAGCGACGTTAGCGAGAGTCCGAATCGCGTCAAGAAGGGCGGCTCCTACTTGTGCCACAAGTCGTACTGCTTCCGCTACCGCTGTGCGGCTCGTTCGCAAAACACCGAAGACAGCTCAGCCGGAAATCTGGGTTTTCGATGTGCCAAGGATGCGTGAGGCGGCATTGGAACACAGCATACATCGTTCTTTGGATCTTTTGTACAGTTTTAAAATATACTTACTTTTGTGGTCTTGTCTTAAACTATCTTACGTATTAAGGATAAGCCATCGTGTCTTTTTATGTTTCAGGATTGCGTGGGGGACTGTACACGCGTGTCATCCGGCGCTGCTTTCTCATGCGTCGATTGCGCAATCTCTGCGCGGCCAGCTTTCGCTCGTTTGGTCTTAACGGTTGCTTTGGCATGTAGGGCAGGGGAACGCCAATTTCCCGTCTAAAAATCGAAGAGATTGGTTAGCTTTTTAATTTAAAAGGCAGTCACTTCTATCGACTTACGCTTCACGGCAGATGCGGCAAGTGCCGTTTTTAGGGCCGCTGTGAATGTCCCAGCGACTGTCCAGCACCTGGTAGTTGCACCATCCTTTGATATGATTGTAGATGAAGAATTTCTTTTCTTTCCTTTGTGGATCTTGCGCGCACTTTTGGGCATGTTTTATCCACCCAGCATTTGACGTCCGTACTTTGTTGCACCGTATGCAGTGGATCCACTGCTTTATCTGCTGGACGGAATACCAACTTGGCTCTTGTAAGGGTTTTTGTTGGGGTTTTATATCCCACTCGCTATCGGAGGGCACTTCCGCCTCGTCGTCAAGAACAATCGTTTGCTCTTGCTCCGATGCAAAGCTTCCAGTATTGTATTCAGCATCTAAGGTCGACGATGGCACCCCCTCCGCAAAGGATAGTGGCATCAGGTGCTCTGGAGGATGACCTCGTGCGGCGGGAATGTTGTTTATTTCGGTTGGAAACGGCGGCCAGGGCTCGGTACAGATAAAAACATGAAAGTTTCCCGAGACACAGCCTGTATGCGTCATGTTCAGGTCTATATCCCGCCAAGCATTGCAATATATGCACTTCTGCGGTGGCGGCTTTAGACAGCAGAAGCAATGATATTCTCTTCCGGTGCCGCCAATGCAATATGGCAAACTATGCGGGAGTGCTCCACATCTGCAGCACACAACTTCCGGCATAATGTCGGACATATACAAAACGTAAATAAATATACGATCTACTTTCTGAGTTTTTCCACTTTCAACGATAGTAAACGATAGAAAACATGCTACCATCGATGCATCGATATTCTTTCACTTCTAACCGGCTTATAAAACTACCGTTCAGTGTGACTGACGCTTATAAATATACCAAAATATACTGACGACTTATTTTTATTCAAGATTCATCATATTTCTCGTGTTTGATATTCTCTTGAATATTACAAGCTAGCTAGCATCTTCAGCTCTAAACTCATAGTTTTATCCGTTTGAAAAATTAATTTCCTATAAGAATGGTTAATTTTAAGTTCTCATCTTTATTGGATTGTTCATAAATAAGGTTTAAGCTAAAGCGGTCAACCACAATTTACACTGAATTAATGTCTTTACATAATAACTACACACAAACTACACATTTGCTACATATCAACTACATTTAATTACCAAAATCGACACTTGAAGTGGAAATGGCATGTTTGTTGACAAGTTTGGCCGCTTTGTTTCATATAAGTCCCATAGAAGCGCCAGTGTGAAAGCCTCCGTTATCCACTTTTGTTTTTACCGACAATGGGCTATTCGTTATCGGTCCATGATCGGAATTCTTATCGATTTTGATGTTCATTTAACATTACTAGATAGCTAGGATCCTCAACACTGAAAATATGCTTTTCTTTGATTGATGAATCAATTTATTACACGATCGTGGTGTTGCAGCAAATCTTCTTCTGCTGTGTTCTTCTGAATTTCCCGCACCAGCTCTAGGACTCACAGCAGGCGGACCTGAAGTACCTCGAAGTTGGTGGGACTTTTGAAAATGCCCACTCAATAATGAAAAATAACTAATTTTTGTGTATGTTTTAATATATTTATATTCCCTTTGCATAGTTTAAGCTTGGACCGGACACCGTCCTTCGTTCCACTCATACTACATGCATATACCATGTGGCATTATCCATATTGTTACATGCTCGTACAGTTTAAATGGTAGTTACTGCTAATGTGTATATTTTTGTATATTGATGACTAAATTGCCATGGCGCAAATGCAAAATGTTGAATGTAAATCTTTCAGATTTTGACTATGTATGTACTTGTTGTATATGCCTACATGCCTAGGTGTTGTATGTATGTATACGTATATAGTAAATGTGTACATATAATGTGGTACGACTATCTCTAGAGTATACAATATATAGTATAGTAATAGTATTCTACGCTGAAATGCTTCACTGATACAACATTGTTTGTGCGCATGGCGTGGGGTCTGAGCGGGGCGGGGCTGATGCTGATGCTGGAGGATGATGGGCTAGGGCTACGGCTAGCAAGATGGACATCTAAAAAAAAAGTCTTATGCTTAAATGAAAAAAAAACACTATGTACAGAATCGAAACTAAAACTAGGCGACTGACTCTGATGGTTATTTAACAATAGGATCTAAATCGTATATAGTTTTAATCGGGTTCATGCGGAGATCGTGCGATCGTAGGGCTGTTGCTGCTGCTGGCTGCTGCTGTCTGCTGATGGCTGCTGCTGGCTGCTGCTGGGGTGCTGTGCATTTTCAGATGTTTTGCTCCAAAATATCACAATGCAAAATAAAAGCGACAGACGACGCCTCTGTCTGCTGGGGATATGCCAATTTCAGATGTACTTGCATCTCTAGATGCATCTCGATGGTTGTGCAGGGGGGAATAATGCATAGACGAAGCGTTAAGGAACATTGCGCTGTCAGGCTGGAAGACTCTGCTGCCGCAAGTCTACGCGATCGCTAGACACTGATCGGGCAGGGCAGCGCTACTGTGAAGCTTCACCAGTTCGTAATACTGTGCCGTGATGGCGGACGATCCGGTTCTTCAAGCTCCCACGCCGGCTGCCGTTGACAAATTTACCGCCTGCAGCATCACCGTCTTGAGCTCCCTGGCCAAAGTATTGATGTGCACCACCGAGTCGACCATCTCCTGAACGGCGCTGCCGCTGGGGAAGTGGGCCGCCGCCTTTTTCGACTTAAGGACACAGGTCTTCAGGGCATCGGAGAGGCCGTTAGTGCAGTGGAGGATCTTCTCGCGCAGCGCCTCCTTCGAAATGTTGCGATGCACGTTGTCGCCGATGGTCACCAGGTTATGGGCACTGACCACCACGAATTTCCCGTACGCAATGAAGAACTTGGGCGGCTGATTCTTCTCCACGGTCTCCAGGAAGGAGTCGATCGCCTGCATTAGGTTGCCCATGTGCGTGGAGATCTGCTGGGCGTAGTAGCGCACCAGCTTCTTGTCCTTGTCTGTCATCTCCGGCGACTTGCAGGGTGTGGGTGCCGTGGGTGTAGTGGGCACTGAGCTCACGCCGCCCGTCGTTCCCATGGCCGTACTCTCGGCGGTCCGGATCACCGTGTCGAACTGCGACTTTAGGCCGACGGGAATGGCCTCGCGCAACGATTGGTTCTTCTTGGCTGCTGCATCCTTGGACTCGAAGGCCACGTAGTCGTAGTCCTCAAGCCACTCGGCGCTGCCTCGACTGCATCCATCGCCGGACGACGGCGGAGCTCCGTTGCCTCCATTCTGTTCCGAGGGCAGCTGACGCTTGAACAGCAGCGATGCATTGCCTTGGATGAAGCTGGTGGTAGAGCGTACGTCCTCGGTGAGGGTCTGGGCGCAGGCCATCAACTGGTCAAGCGAATCTGGCGGCCGGCAGCCATGCTTCTCGTCGCTTCGCGCCAGCACATCCACGGACCAGCCGCCCTGGGCATCCAGGGCCTCGCTGGAGTCGTGTATCAGCTTGTTAGCGTCCCGCAGGGCCCGGACCAGGGGCCGCAGCTTCAACGCCAAATTCCGGTCCTCCGAGCGCGTGGCATTGCCAAGGGCTCCCTCCCCGAATTCGGCCAAATCGTGCAGGGCCGTGCGTAGGCGGAGTGCCGCTAGTTTTAGCTCCATCACGGCCGGCTCCAGCTTGCTACGGGTACGCCAATCGGGGACCACGAAGCTGAGCAGCCGTGTGATGGCCGTCGTGGTCTGGGACTGCAGCTTGGCCAGCGTCTCGAGGGCGGAGCCCAGCTCCAGCGGCAGCTCCTTGGCAACGGCCGGACTGCTGCTGCCGTTGCTCTGGGCACTGGTCAGGCGCTGGTCCTGCTCCTGCAGCGGTGGCAGGGGAAAGTCGTAGGTCAGGCCGCTCGGCTGAAGGGGTGTGCGACGCACAGGCAGCGGATTGCGGCGCGGGATGTCGTAGTCGGGCATATTGGCCAGCGAGGAGCGGTTCGAGCTGGAGAAGCTGAGGGACAGGCTGTCGCTGGTCAGCAGGGAGGAGGCCGAGCTGCTCGGCGTCATCTGCTGCTGCAGAAGGCTGCTGTTGTTGAGCGGTCGCGGCACATCGTACGACTCCTCCTCGATGGAGGCGGCCACGCTCTTCAGAGACTCGAAGCGCGCTCCCAGCCCGGAGATCGATGTGGGTGTCCTCGGGTGTCCCCCCTTGGAACTGTCGTAGTTCAGCGGCACGGGCGTGGCAGGCTTGGGTATGTCGTACGTCTCGAACTCACTGCCACAGCCACTGCCACTGCCACCGTTCTGATTCTGCTGGGCAGCTGACATCATGGAGAGGTTCTGGTAGATGCTTTGGTTGCTGTAGATCTGCTGGTACGATGTGCGGACTCCTGTTCCGGCTCCAGGCAACGATGTGGGCGAGCAGTTGTAGATGTAGACATCACCGTGTCTCTGCGGTGTAATAACCTGAAGAGAAACCAGAGAGCACAAAGCACACAAAGATTAGTCGCTGTACCATGGGTGGCTATGCCACTAATACTATTACTATTACTACGAGTACTACTGGTCGAGTTCCATTCTACAACCCACACCCGTGGCCTATCGATTTTCTTTGCTGCCTGTCTGGCGAGTGAACCTGTGAATGAACCACCGTCTACCACGAGGGAAGTTGTGCTGTTTCTGTTTGTCGGTGTGGGTATGGGTGTGGGTGTGGGTGTGGGTGTGGTTGTGGTTGTGGTTCTGGGGGTTCGGTTCCCGCCTCACCTGCTGTCTGATTATCACATATTGTTTCTCAATTATTGCAAAAATGCACTAATATAAAAAGCTGTAAAAAAAAGGAAAAACTCCGGCGTATAAAAAACGTCGCTGTACAGATGGCTTTCCCGACTGCGACTGCAGCCCCCAAAGAGTGTTGTAAACGGTCGTCGTCCAAGTGGGGAAATTTTCAAAATGGGAATTTAGTGGCGCATGCGCGCTGGATAGAAAAAAAGGGACAGGAAGGCAAGGACATTTCCTCTGTCAATTGCAGTTCAAGGCGGTTCAGTGTCAAGGTAAAGGACCAAAGGACCAAAGGACCCCCCGCCATACCATATAGAAGACCAGTGCAGGGAATAATTAATGGAGAATCATGGTAATAGAAAAGTATGACTATGAAAGGGATAATGGGAAATGAAAGAACTATTGTTCTTCCATGCATGCCTCAAATATGATAGAACTACATATAATAGAACGAGTGAATGAATGCCATCCAATTATATGTACATACATCAAGCACGACACCCCTTCAACAAATCACTTTTTCAACCATATTGATTTGCCATAAAAAAAGGATTAGCGCAACAGAATACCCGAGGACTAGAGGACAAAAAGTTAATCTCTTTCCGCGTAGATTGCATTACAATAAAGTCACATAATCCAAATTGGAAAACTAATACAACATCAACGTTAACGTTAACGTTAAGTTCCTGAATATATGCCAAGGCGATACCCTAACCCAACCCTCCCCGAGGCCTAGGGGATGCGATCTGCGGCCATATGTTGCCGTCGAATGATGAAATATTATTATTGCGGCATATGTGAAATTATTCGTCTAAGCGTGGCACGTACCACCGCAGAGGGAAAAGGGAAGAGGGAAGACACGCCTACCGCTGCAGCCCGGCGAAATGAATCGATTCCTAATTAAGCAAACCGTTACGCCAGGAAGTAACCCCTCTAAACGGGAGGATCGGATCGGATCGATCTATAGAAAGGGGGAACAGAGGAACAAATAAATTAAGAAGAATGCTACCTGAAGTGGACACTCGTGGCGATGGCTACGGCTGTGGCTGCAGTTCCCCATCCCATCCCATCCCATCCCATCCCATCCCCTCCATCCCATCCCGTATCGGGTTGCCTGAGTTCTGTTTCCCTTTTGTTTTCCCTAACCATTGAAGTGCCAATTGACGCGTAACACGAGTCAACAAAATGCCAAAAAAATAATAAAAGAAAAAGGGATACGATGCGGTGCGGTGCGATAGAGAACAGCTGAGGCTGTACAAACTGCGGGATGGATTTCGTTAAAAGCATAGCAACATTCGGCATTCGCTCTTCTATCTTTTATCTCATATCTTATCGGGGGAATCAGAGCAGCTGAATGGACAGCTGAATGCCATTTGAAGTGCCGTACCACAAGCACCACAAGAACTCCAGATCATCAAAGACTTGACCACCTGAAAAGTGGTTCTCTTGGGTTCTTGTGTTCTTGGGCTCTTGGGTTCTTGGGCTCTTGGGTTCTTGGGCTCTTGGGTTCGGCAATTGCACAACCAATCTCCAAGAAGAACCGAACCAAGCCCAGCAGGGGGTTTGGTTTGGTTTGGTTTCCTTTCCTTTAATTTCTATGTTTTGTTTTTGTGGGCTTGGTTTTTCCCAGTGACCCATATTTTTTGCCTGTCCTGTCCTGTCTTTTCTTTCTGGCGAAAATTTCCTATTTGTGTGTGCGACCCAAATGGGCAACTTTTCCGGGGCATATATCACGAGATTTGTGTACATTTGTGTATATTTATGACACATTTGGGGCACTCCATGGGCTTGGGTTTTGGGCCATCCGCCAGGGGGCTGCTCCCTCATTTAATTGCCTTTTGATATTCGAAAGATATGCACGAATGTTGTTGTATTCCCCACACGTCAAGGAGTAATAATACCAGATTCTTCGAGTGTCCGCGGACACGGAGGAGGAGGAGAAGGAAGATGTGTATCGTATCTCAGGAAAACAAATCGTTTTATGTTCTCGTTTAAATTCCACTCCCGAAAACAGTAGCAAACCGGGAGGATGGTGGGGGGTAGATAATCATCTCTGGAGTTTCGCAGTTTCGTTCGTTGAATGCATTTCAATGCTCCCTTCCCTTCCCTTCCCCTACCATTCCTTCCCTACAATGGACACCTGCCCCCTGGTGAGAGAGAGAAGAGGCCCACGCAGTTCTTGAGTTCTTTCGGATTTCAACATTTTCTCACGTACCGCACCGACGAAAAAACAAAATACATTCGTATGGAAAATGTTAATTATCCAAAGAAAAGAAAAGAAAGAGGAGAAAGAATAAACAGATCTCTGGGAAGGGATCTGAGGATCTGCTGCGGAGAACCGCTGCTGTTGCTGCTGTTGCTGCTGTCGAATGCGGTAATCCCCTGGCTCCATGCCTAACCTAACACTAACGACCTTGCTGCGGACGCATCTCCTCCGCTTTTGTGGAGACGAGACGAGACTTTTCACCGCTGCTTTCCACATATTTCTGCTGCGAATCCGCATTGCCCGATCCGATGGCGGAATCCCACTCCCATCCCATTCCATCCCATCCCATACCATACTATCCCATTCCGTCCACACTCTGGCCATAACTTTGGTCACGCACAAATCTCGGCAGAATCCGAAATACGAAAAAGAGTTATTGTGGCTGCGGCTCTGGGGCTCTGCGGCTCTCGGGGCCCCTGCATTTGTAACCATTTTTGGGCAATAAAATAAAAATGACATGTTTTGCTCAAGCAAAAGAGTCGTCGCTCGCTCTCCCGCTCTACCGCTCTGGCACTCTGGCACTCGCTCTCTGCTTTTGGATCTGGCCATAAATCTTCATTGGCTTTTGCAGCAGCGGTTGCATTTGGCCACCACCTGACTTTGGATCGGTTCGGTTCGGTTTCTTTTGGCTTTTGGCTTGGTTCGAATGGGTTTGCTTTTGGCTTTATGGTCAGTGCGTGACCAAGAAGGAGACAAAGACGGAGATGGCGACGGCGACGGCGACGGAGATGGTGATGGAGATGGAGACCAAGACGAAGTTGGAGACGGAGTCTGCTCCAAAGAGCAGTCTGTAGTCTGTATGTGGGCTCAAGGAACTTGAAGTTGTCACACAATGTTGCTGCCGCTGCCGCTGCCACTTCCACTGCCGCCGTCTATCGGTGTCTAACGGTGGAGGCGAGTTTTTCCCCAAACCAGCAGCTTGGGTTTACGCCATAAAATATACTTAAGTATGTGGGTTGTGGGATGCTGGAGGTACGAGCGATGTGACCAGTAAGCACAGTATCTGTGTGGCGTTGGGCAGTCCAACGATTGCACAACATTAGACGAGGCATTTCCGTTCTCAATTAGCCCCAAGGAATGTCTGTCTCTCGCTGGGCAAAGGCGTTACAGGTTTTCACACCATGGGATTTGGGATACATTTCAGGCGATGCATATATATGTATGTACGGATATCTGTATATAACTTTTCGATACCTCAATCTAATGATCTCTTCAATCTATCGATCTTTCTATTCATCTCTTTTTCATTCGATCCTCATATCTCCTAGATCTGTCTAGCTCTATAGCGAAACAATCTGTAAATCTTTCTATTGTATCCCCATATTTTTCCGTATCTTCCCAACTCCAGGCCACAATTTGAACTCCGTTCCTGGCCAACCTGTGGCCCCACAAATAGGTCAATGGGAATACCACAGAGATTCACTCGTTCATTCGGACTCATTGATATTCGAATGGAGTGCTAAGTGCAGAGCTGTGTGTTCGAAGCCCTCCACCAACATCCCATTTGACGCCTTCGAGTGACAGCTTCGCACGCGGCGGCTTTCCGAGTCAATCAAATCGAACGAATGAACAAAGGCAGCAGCATTTACGGTTTTGTCAGAGACTTTTATGACTAGCAGCAGCCAAGGGGAAAAGGTTTCTCCCCAAACTTCGACTTGGACTTCAGCTCTGATGCTGCGATGCTGCGATGCAGTTCGCAGTTTTTGGGCCTCCGTTGAAATGGCAGCTGGGGCGTGCAGCAATTTGTGGCTTGCCCCTCCAGCCTAAGCTTACGCTACCCAACAGCTCTCCCCGCATAGCGTTTACTTTGAATTCGAATTTGAATTTGAATTTATGGTTTCACTTGCCTCCAGTTAAGATTGATAGCCGCCGATAATGCGAGGAAATGTTTACGAGTCTGTAATTTGGGTTTCATTTTATTTGATTTGCCTGCGAGCCCCCAGCCCCCATCTCCAGCTCCGCAGTGCGCTGGGAAAGCGAAAGTCCACCGCATCAAAACCACTGACCATCCCATCCATATCCATCTATCCATTCATCCATCCATCCTCCCACCATGGGGATTGTGGGCGTATTGGATGCCAAAGTTCAGAGTCTCGAAGGCCGCCGCCGCCGCTTGCATGCGGTGCTAATAATGATCCGATGGCGATCCGATCGCCAATTAAGTTCAAGCCTTATGCAATCTCAGAGTCGACGAACGGGGAGTGGGAAGTGGGGAGTGGGGAATGGGGATTCCCCAAAGACCCACGAAAGCGAAAGGTTTATCAAAGACAGCGCTAGATATGATCTAAAGTGTCAGAGATCGATCTATCTTTGCAGCCATATGTACATACATATGTGTGTCTTGCCATCTATCCAAAAATATATTCGATCCTGCTTTGAGAGACTCTTGTGTTCCCTTCCGGAGATATAGTTTCCAGTCTTTCTACCTCTTTCCCCATTAGTCTGTACAGTCTTTTCTGCCATCTCCTGGCATCATTTATGATCTTTCTCTATTGATCTTTCGATGTGCTCTTCCGATGGCAAATTGTTCGTTTCCTTCAATTTCCAAATCAAACCAAATCAAAGTGAAAGAAATGCAAATAAAACGCATGTCCAGCTGACAAATTGGCAAATTACAAGCCCGAATGCAAAGAGGGGAAACCCGTTGGACAGCAGCAGCGGCACCAGCAGCTCCAGCAGTTCCAGCAGCTGCAGAGCCCCCAGAGTGCTGCCCCACGAGCACGAGAGGCACAGTCACGAGGCAGAGCCCCAAGTTGCAACCGAGGATCGACTCTTGCAACTCTTATTAATTGCACAATTACGACACGCAGTTGACGTGAGGAGAGGAGAGTTGAAAGGAGACTGCAGTGTGCACTGTGCAGCGTGGGGAATGGGGATGGACGATGGACGATGAACGATGGACCCCTCAAAGCGTAATGATGGACCGAAGGAGCCACAGAAATGACTTTCTTTCACTTTCCCGACAAATATCATAATTCAGTAGCCACCGGAGAAGCCACCGAGCAGCCAGGAGGATGTATGCATGTAAATGTTGCAGAAAGAAACGAAATCAATTAAGAGCCCCAGACTCTCAGACTCTCAGAGTTCCAGAGTCCCAGAGTCCCCGAGTCCGACGAAGCGGAAAATTAAGAAATTGACAAGCCAACTGGAACGGGAACCAGGATTTACATTGGAATTGGTATATGGGTATATTTACCTTGTTCGGTGAGATATGCCACGATCGTCTGGTGCCACGGCCCTGCGTGGCAGATGGGGAGGACTCGTGGATCGTCGTTCCTTGGCCATTTGTCACCACACCGCCACCACCGCCACCTGAGGACGAGACCGCACTGATGATGGACCCATTCTCATAGATCTCCGCGGAGCAGATGGAGCTGTTCAGCGTCGCGGTGCTCGCCGCCAGCGAGGGTATCGGAGAGCTGGCCGGCGATGGCGAGAAGCAGCCCGAATCGTACGAGTTCAAAATGCGTAACCGGTTGCCGGGGCATAGACCCTGAAAACATAGAGAAATTTTGTGAAAATTGCAATCAAAATAGTGCATGCTCATAAGCAATTGGTGAGGGAAACTCGATCAACTCAAGGGAAAAGCCAAGGAAAACCAAGGAAATTTGTGCGAATTTCAAGTATTTTATTATTCCCACTACTCAAGTGGTTGTTTTATTCTTTTCCCCAATTTTTCGCAACTTTTAGCCTTCCCATTCCTTCCATTCCTTTTTCCCCTCCCTCAATGTATTTTCTCAATGATCTCAATTGATTTTGATTGCTTTTTAATCAACTCAATGCTGAATGAATTATTAATGAAAAAACATACATACGCACATATCGGCAGAGCAAAAAAATGGCTAAGGAAAACATATTGCAATCATTTTTCGCTTGTTTTTAATTGCCAGACGCATTCCTTGCCATTCTATTTAAGATCTGTTTCGGATCATTGCTGTCCCACATGTTTAATGCAATTTTCCGACACGACGCCCCGATCTGTGGTGCGGTGCGGTGCGGTGCGGTGCGGGTGCGGTGCCGCGATGTTCTCCAAAAAATGTTCCCATTGCTCTGCTGCCGTGGGGGCAGGCAACATCAAAGTGCACCACGAAAATCTTGTCAACATGTGTTTTTCGCGATCGAAATTTATGCCAAAAGTTGATTTTTATTTATAACACATTATTTTTGTTGCTGCCGCGGCCGCTGCCGCTGCTGCTGCTGCTGTTGTCGGCACTCAATTGTCCGTTTTTGGGTTAATTGTTTCCATTAAAAAGTTGCAGCTACTTTTTAATTAGAGACAATTGGCGGCCAGCAACGGACCGTGGCATATACTACATATACTATCAGTATCAGTATCTGTATCTGTATCTATAACGCTGGCCTGCCAATTTTGATTTCCATTTTGATATATGTTTTGACACCATCGTCATCGTCATCAGCGCAACGCCAATGGGTTGTGGTTTTTCCATCTAGTGGCGGCGCCAATTGAGTTGTTAATTAAAACATTGCCGCCGAGCGACGTGCAGAAATTTGAAAATTTGCGATCATTTTTGTGATCTGAAGTTTTAAAAAGTTGTTTCTGCTAGTGGCTTTGGGTGCTAGTTGGTGGGTTAATTAGCCACAGGAGGTGGCGGTGGCGGTGGAGGGGGGAGCGGTTCAAGGTTGCCTCGGGGCAAGCGCTACGAGTGGGAGATCGTAAGATCATTAGCAAGTCCGCAGATTGAGGTTGAAGTTTGGTGTGGGGCAAAAGGTTTGCCAGAAGAAGGTTCATTGATAAATGAGATTTCGATTAGAAAGTTTCTTCGAAAGAAAGGGGTTACTGGAGACAGAAAGGGGTGAAATGGCTGTAGAAATCGCACTTGTATCAGGTACTTCAACTTTCTGAAATATAACTCTTTCATGTCGCAATTTGGAGTCTTCATTTCGTTATCTTCCAATAGGGATTTCCTTGGAAAAATTGTATTTACTTTGTTTACCATCGCAATCGAAGCGAAGCAAACAACTTCGACCTCTTTATCCACTCCGCATATTCGCCGAGGGGCAGAATAATGTTGTATGCCCCACAGTTGGTTTCATTTGTTGTGCTGTTCTGGGCTACGCTGCGGCAAGATAATGCTGTATGCACTTGGGTAATCTGTAATCGTCTGGTAATTCTCACATCCCCCTTTGAGGGGGGCATTCAGACATTTGGGCATTAGGGGGCCATCATTTTGATGATGATGCTTTTTATTACGGCTGCAGACACAATTAAAGTGCCAAAAAATATGTGTAATTTATATGCGCCCAGCCTCTGGGATGAGGCCGTATGCCGTATGCGGCATGCAACGCCATCAATTGGGCCACGTGCCAGCGATGATGAAGCGTTGAAACAATTACAGAAATTAAATTAAAAATTTAAATGAGTTTTTTGTCCCTCCTGCCTCCTGCCCCCAGCCCCCTGGGGGGGCGGGGACTAGGAGGGTGGGAAATGAAATGGAAAAAGTTATGCAAATGCCTTCGCCTCGGATTGCTTAATTACAAATGCAGACAGAGCCCAGACACAACACAGCCCAACGGATACTCGTAATTTAAGAACAAGAAAAGGAACGAGAAAAGAACAAAAACAAGAAAAGAAGGCGTTTCCCTGTTAGCTCTTGATGGGCGCTGCGGCCCGGCCCCAGAGATGTTTGGACTTGATTTGGGTTCCGATCCGATCCCTCCTCGGAATGTTGCACTCACCTGTCGGTTCTTCAGGGCACAGAGCCACCATCCCTGGATGCCCTCCGTGTCCTGTTCGATGACGGTGAGGATGTCCCCCTTCTTGAAGGGCAGCTCGTCGGGGCTGTCTGCATGATTATCATATATGGCCTTGGCATAAAGTTTCTGCAAATAAATCAACGAAACAAAAATGAAACAATTAAGAACAGCACAAAGATACTCCAGTTTTGTCGAAGGAATGAGGCGATTTCTGATGTATTTTTTTCACTTCTAAGAGCAGGCCGCAAGCGAAACAACAATTTCAATGGAATTTCAAAGACGTTTTCTCGGGGCTTGACCAGCCACTGACCCTGTGCCTCTGTCTCTGTCGCTGCCTCTGTCGCTGCCTCTGTCGCTCTCCGTCTCCATGCCGCACCGATATACCGCTTTGCCTTACCCAAAAACTTCCATCATTCATAAGAAGTTCGTCGTTTGCTGATCTTTAGCTTTTTCGTACCGTGCACACACACACACACACACACACATTATCTTCTTTTTAGGTAGCGAAATGTTTTTGGGGAATACAAAGAACTGCAGAAAAAAAACTGCAAAGAGCAAGCCAAACCAAAAGAAAGACAACAACAAGCAAAACAATGCCAATCTTTTGTTTTTGTTGTTGTTATTGTTGTTGTTGTGTTGCCTTCAGCCCATGCGGCGCTCGCTTCATTAGTTTAGCTGGAATTTCAGGTCAACTTGGGTTGGTTTTTCGGTTTATTTGGGTTTGCCTCTAACAGTAGAGTAGAGTGGAAAGATATTCCAGATATCCACACAGGCGGAGAAGGTTGTATAGAAGTCATGGCATCTCAGAGGATGTGAGCAGGCAACTTCTTAAACACACACACACAGAGAGAGAGAGAGAGAGAGAGAGATTGAAATCAGACATTTGTTGATCATTTCCATAGCACTCCCTTGAACTGATACCAATCATAAAACTCCAACATCCTGCTAGCCATTTGGGCCACAATCCACTCTTTGGTTGGGGAACATTCATCATCTGCACGAACCTTAACATTCCTTCAGTGGGATTCAATCACTTGAAATGAAACACTTTCCAGCCTTCCTCTTGTACGCTTTTGTCTCTAAATCACTGACCACGAGTGTAGCCAGAGTTAGAGAGAGCGAGAGAGCGAAAGAGCGACTGGGGCAAAGGTTTGCTTTGCTTTTCTTCTGCTCAATGAATGTCCGTGTTCATGTGTAATTGCTGAACATGTGTTCGTGTGTGTCTCCGTCTCCGTTGCTGTCGTTGTATTTGTATTTGTGGTCGCGGGTTAAGCGTGGTGTGCTTTTAATTTCGTAAAGAAATCCAAAACGAACCGTTTTGAACTCGAACTCGAAGCCGATGCCGAAGCCAAAGCGCGGCAGCGACAAAAGCCGTGACTGCTCCTTCCTCCTTTACCTTTTTTGGTACCCTGTACTAATAGATTGGCAAAGTGTGTTCGTTGGAGTGTAAGCGGTTTGGATATCCGAATGGTAATTACAGCCAGGATCCAGAATAACTGCGCCATTTCCTTACGATTTATTCTTTGAGGGCATCCTAGATAGTCGCCTAGTACTGGGTATCTACTAGTCGGAATGCCGAAACTCATTACCGTTCTTACTTGTTTTACCCCACTCCACTCTCTCGCGTTCACCCCCGCTCTCTTTGTGCTGTACCTCGCACTCTCTGACTACACTCTTACTGTCCCTCTTCCACTACTACGACTAATGTGAGCTTAGCAAGGGGACGGGGGAAGCAGCGGTTAAAGCGCTTGGCAAGAGGGATGGAGAGAGAGAGAGAGCTGCGATCGGCAAGCGAAGCGATTACAATATCGAGCGTACAATCGCGAGTGAACTTTCAACTCGGGGTTTCAGCGTTTGATACTCGTATGTCTGCGGGTAAGTGGAGGTACGTTTCGAAACCCGTTTCGCCAGGCCGCAGACGGAGGCGGAGGCTATTCTACTTTTCAATTTCGAAAGCGCACTGGAAGCGCGTTCAAATGTCAAAAAGGAAAATGAGCGCACTTGAAGTTCAACGTCAGACGTCGGAGTGACACTTGAACGATGTTAAAGCCAAGGGAAGCAAACAATACCAATGTTTGTTGGGTCGAGCGCCAGGGTTGTCACCGTACATCAGTATTTTCCGATGCTTTCTTTACTGCCATCTCTCGCACTCTTTTAACACCACGCTAATTGAAGGGGCAAATATTTAAAGTTGAGAATTGGAAGATTGAAGTTCCGCCTGCGGTCTGCCCGCGGTCTGCCCCAATCCCCGATCCGCGTTCGAGACAAACAAAAATCAAATTTCTGTTTGTGTGTGGGTTAAGAAAAATTAGGCTTAACCCATGGACAAAGCGGGGGGTTTCTTGACAGAGGTTTATTTGTTTGTTCGAGAGTGACTTTAATTGGTTTGCTTAGTGCATTTTTCTCGTCTGGGCGTCCGTCCGGCCGTCCGGCCGTCCGTCCGTCCGACGAGAAACGGAACTGAAAAGAGGTAACATTTTGTGTCGTAGTTCCCATTCCTAGATTTCCGAGCCATGCAAATGGTATATCCCTCCTCTGTTTCGGGGCTGTGGCCATAAATGCTGTCATAAATCACCGAAAAAATTCAAGTAAATTTAATAAAAGTAATTTTTGCCTTTGGGCTGTGTCTGCTTCTTATTTCCTTTCATTTCGAGCCCCGAACTTCAAAAAGCAGTGAAAGAGTTGCCAGGCCATTTATTGGTTTTAATGGCTCCACCAAATGGCCCATAGCTGTGGCCCCAGACCAGGCTTTAGCTTTAATTCACGTAAGCAACATTTTCGGAAAACAAACTTCATTTTCGGTTATTTATGCACGAGTGTTCTTTGAGGTACTGCCGAGTGGCACTGATCCATGCCAAAAGATCATTCAATTACTCAATCCCCACATTCTTTATCCTCTCTTCTTTCTTCTTCGTTTTTGCACATTTCGTTGTGGCCCATAAATAATCAAGTCAGAAAGCGAAGAAGCCGCCAACAAACAGCTTAATGAGCACTCAAAAACTCACAAACCAAACCAAACCTCGTTGGTTACGCCGATCCGCGGCTCAGAGACCTGACAAAGATGACAATTTGCTGCTGGCCTTACGGCCACATCGAAGAGAGAGACCATTAACCGCATTAGAGGGGCCTGGTACCCTGGAGGGTATACCCGTACTCGACGCCAATCAACGGCCATGTCTTGGCAAATATTTCCAATCGAATTTGGAACAGTTTTCCTATTTGTTGCCTTTTTTTTGGCAATGACAGTTCGTCCCAGCGATAACCCAACCCCCCGAGAGCTGATAAGTGGTTATTGTCTAAAGTCAAGCGTTTGCTTGCGTGACAGATAATATTTTTCGTCAATTTTAATTAACAGAATTTGACGAAATTGACAAAAAACTAAATAATATAAGGAAAGGAATGGGTAGAGTAACATAGTCCAGGAGGGGGTCTTAATGATGGGAGGGCAACTCTGGGGGAATGTTGAGCGAAAGTCTCTTAGAGTGGGGAATGACGAAATAGTAATTTCAAAGTGAGGAATCTTGTAAGGTTGAATCAGGAAAAGGACTACTCTTTGAATTTGGTTCAATGGAAATGGTTCAAAACTTTTGACGCAACTGTACGTAGTATTTCCCTTTAGAAGGCAACTCTGGACAGTTAAGAGTGAATGCATATAAATAGAGGTCATGGAAAAGGTCTCTAAATGTTACAAAGAATGACTAGAATGAAAAACTAGCATGCGTTAATCTTTGACGCAACTGTACCAACATAGTACGTATCCTGCGTGAGTGTTGAGGCAACTTCACTTTCCGATATCTATGCAAAATTTCGCACCTACCATATCGTTTTCTCTGGTTAGGCATTCGTCTATTTTTAGCCCCCGAATGCGTCACTTTCCTTCAAGGTTCGCTGTTGAGTAAACTTTGGACTTGGACGGAAGACTATGACTGATTAAAAGGTTTTCTGCGGCAGCAGCAACCTCTTCTTCGGCGGGGAAGTTTTCGGAACAAAATATTTTCGTTGGTTTATAATAAAACGCCATATGTCGCGTTGAACTGGTTTCTTTTTCAGCAAAAATATAAAAATAAACAAAATGTTTACTGCTCTCGGGCTCACATGTGGCGGCGGCGGCGACGGCGGCCTTTTCGTCACATTTCGTCAAGTTGTGTGCAAAAAATACATAAAATATAAAACAGAAATAAAAAGAAAAAAAGAAAAAACAATCTGTATAAGACTCGGTGTGACAATAAAACTTAAAAAGCGGGCCAACTCAATCGGAGAGAAACACGTTCCTGAGAGATCCGAGAGAGATGGAGATGGAGACGCGAGACGCGAGACTGGGTCGAAAGCCGTTTGCCATTGATGGTAAATTGCATTGACAAGTGCACGAAATCAAATTTAGCATCTCCTCCACAACCACAGCCACAGCACCAGCCCCAGCCAGAGCCACAGCCACATGTTGCAGCAAGATAGCAGGACAGGCATTGTACGGACCACTGGGCTGTGAGCGAGTCAATGAAAGTGCAATTGATCCAAACAATCCAGTCCCCAGCCAGCCATTCGAACCTGCTCCAGCTCCAGCTTCAGCTCCAGCTCCACCCCTCAACAATGGTGATGCAGCCGCGAGTGTGAGGCAAAAGTCAATTGCATTTCGCATTGCATTCCATCAATAGACGACGACGCCCCCCAAGTATTTCTCATTCAATTTGCATTCTTATTGCTCAACTCTGGGGGCAAGTCGCTCTCAGGCTCCCTGGCTCCCTGGCTCTCTGGTTTTAGCTTTTGATCTTTTCACTACATATAGAACGCTCTTATGGAATCTTTAGTGTGGGGTCAAGTAGAGTTAAGGAACTTAAGGAATAGATTGAAGAATCTAAGAGGATGATAATTAAATGGGATTTAACATTCTGTAAGTGAGCGAACGAGTTTTAAAAAGCAGCAAAAAAGATGGGAAGAGATCTCATTGCTCTGGGGGCCTTTCAACACCTTTCATCACAAAACTGGGTAATTTTTTTCGTTCCGATTCTTCGCCGAAAAATGCAAATTAACCACAAAAGTAGACCGCCGGAACGGTGGATCGTAAGACGTGGCCCAACCGAAGGGAAATGACTCACAAAACAAAACAAAACAAAAGCGAACCGAATCAT